AATCAGTGTGCCATCGGATTCCTTAATTGCCTCACTGACACCTATCTTCCTAGGGCCCGTATTCCTAATTAGACGGAAAAGATTGCGACAATGACCAATAGCCGCAACTCTCTCTATCTCTTTACACTTTCCTTCCCACCACTTCTCGCGGTCATTCCTCAAACTCTTGATGATGATGATATAAGATACACATTGACTCACCTTCACGAAACGTTTGTAGTTCACACTGTGCACGACCGAATTGGTGATTTTAGCGCTAGGAGCAACCAGGCTGACGAAAGCAACCTTCGCAAAGTTGCATGGGGGACTATCCGGACACAGCTGATGGACACAAAATTAGGAAGAAGTAGAAACAGAGAGAAATTATGGACCGGATAAAATACAACTGATTGACACGGCAGTTATGAATCATTAGGGGATAGAGAGGTTACATGATTAATATCGACGATTGCCTTTTATAACCAACACGGAAAGACAATTCGAATTTTTAAAAACAGTTTATGAAAACCATTTACCAGCTAGATGAACTAGATACGCATATGTGGATTTCAAATCACTTATTAATTTTTTGGACCCAAAGAGAAGCACGTTGAAATAAAAGCGTGGTTAATCCAGCACCCCACGAACGCAGTTAGGAAGCGACACAAAATCTGTTGTCTGAATTACAGAAGGTGCAATAAAAAGGGAAATTCCAGTGCGAATGATGTATGTGCAAGAATAAAAAAACGTCAAGAGTGCTGAACAGATTTCAAGATCGGAATTCATTCAAGCTTATTCGCGAGGTATCTTTAAATAGAAAGAAGAGTCTTAGCGACGAGTACCCATGACACCACCGGAGAGCGGGTCAGTGCCAAGGGCGAGCCATTCACATTAACATCAAATCGCCCTGGAGGTCGTCACTCTTACCGCCTACTTTTTCACCGCTTTCTTTCCTATGACAACCCCTTAGTCACTTCTCAGGGGGATGATTGCAAAAGCGTATACCTAATAGAGGGGAGTAAAAGGATCACTAATGTTCTTAAGGAATGCTAGTATCTCTTAATGATCTTAATGTGGTGTGCGCCTGATACCCAATGGCGGAGACCAAACTCACATCGAAGTTAACGAAAGGACTTACTAATCGGGATACGTTTAAAGAACGATATTCTGAAATTCCTACTAAATGGAAAACGGTCCCCTGTTTAAACCTGAGTTGGGTCCACAGAATTGCACTGCTGATGAGCCTCAAACAGGACGAAAGAGCTGTACAGCGCTTCCTAGCTTTTCGGTTCACGATACGTTTGTTCCATATATGACGAAGTTCGTTAATATAGAATATCGACCTCCCCGTTGGTATGCAGAGTCAAGTCTTGGACACATCTAACCTTGGTGGAAACAATTCAAAAGCGCAACTGTTGATGCATCTTGGCATATCGAACGACACCCACTCGATGCGGTTTCATTCCTATAAAACCACACAGTTCCGAACACCAATGGTTTGAGTCTCGAATGATGCAGATGGTGCGCACTAGTGAACAATTTTAGTGGGTTGACAGTAGTCAGTTAGTGCAAGTTGTCGACTATGTGGACCACAAACATCGGTCGATTGCACAGAATCGAGAACGAAAATAATAAAAAAGTTTTCCATAACATACCGAAAATAACAAAAAGGCAAATAAAATGAGCTGATGGTTTGGTTAACGGCGACAATGCCTTTCTGTGAAAACAATAAAGACAGAATTGAGAACAGGTTGGTTCTTGTGGTCGCAGAATCATGCCCCTTCATCACTACTCAAACGGCGAAAATGGTCTCAGTGAAGGCAAAAACCATATGGCATATTTTAAAACACTGGTTAGGAACGTGTGACTGGACAGCACAACCAGTATGCTACTGAACAGTGCCCCTGAGAAGAACAACTCTCACTGGAAGAGACTGTTGTGTCCTATTGTATTGTAAGGAATTGCAGTGGCGATTGAAGTTCTATTTCAGTGACCAATACACGTTTGTACATTATAAATACAGAAAAAAATAATGAAACAATAAATTCAGAAAATTCAAACAAGGACAGTTATGCGCATCTCCTGTCAACTGAGGTGCTATTTAAACTCTAGTTTTATTTTGCTCTCATACATACATACATTATCACGTCAATATTCAATTCTTCGCTTGCCAATAGATACGGGGGTGATTTAGTGTTTGACTTACCCTATCACAGTACATATTCCTAGGCTACTTTGCACGACGAAATTGTAGACTGATCTCCACACCCGGACCACGAACTAAACTGCAAGCTGTTTTAACGTCTTTTGCTCCCAGTGAGAGGTACCTGCTTCGTGATGTTTGCACCTACGTCTTATCGGTGTGTGTTCTCTCGCCTTGAGGTATCGAGCTTGCCGTTCGTGGGTATCTAATTAGTATCCCCTGCCGGCATGGCTACGTTTGTTTTGTGTTGCCCTGTGCGTCCTCCAACGGGGTTGTGTGCGCTTCTTTCCGTGACACTGTGATGCATAACATGGTGCAGTAATGTTTTTAGGTTTTCTGTTGTCACTGTCTTTATTTCCCAATTAGCTGTACTATGGTGCTTCCCGTTAGATTCACAATCATCAAATGGCTGCTCACAATTCACCCATTGAGGTGCAGAGTGGTAACTTGCCGTGACTTTATGTGACTGATGTCTTGTTTACCGTGCCGGTCTTCGTTATTTTCGTTATCAGGCTAGTTCGGCTTTAATTGAAGCGTTTTCTCCTAAAGTTTGTCGATCTATACAGATGATCGTATAGTTTGAGATCACTATCATCAGGGCAGGCGACAAGGTTTAACTGAGGAGATTACGCAGCCTAGTACCAAAACGTTTGGAAGCGAAACAGCAAATGATCACAGAAACATTGTCTAAGCAATGTATGTTTGCCACAATTCCAAGCAGTCATCTCTACAGGTTAGCAACATGCTCATGTAAAGCCCAACCATTCATCTCCTACACCACCACCCGTTTCTTATCATAATCTGGGCGAGATAAGGCATCGCTAAATCGCGATAAGCACTCATGTGCGCAGCTCAGAGATAGGACATAGTTGAGGAATGAGACCAAGACAATTGGTTTCTTGAATGAGGTTAACAAATGACAATATGAATTGTCTTCATATCACTGGCTACAGTACAGGTGGTGGAAATTTGCATTTACTACGAGAACACAACTATTTGTGCGAGAACTTATATATTGATATAGTTCACATACGTCTGGGGCCAGACTGTGCCAAACAAATCACAGGTACAATAATCTTTAGCCTGGCACACATATCTAACATCTCGAAGAGTTTTGATGACAACATACCTAGCACGGTTGAGACAGTCGTTAACTGTATTTGATGGATATAAGAGGAATTTTATTTGCACTCGTCGATCATCTTACCTTCCATTGACGATCTCCCCGCCAGGGATTCGCGGCGAGGTTATGCAACTATTTAAAACTATTTTTTCAGTTCAAAAAGTAATACTTGGCGTGAGTTGATTGCAAGATAACGTATCACAATTTTTGTGTGAGGACGTATCTTTCTAATGATCCGCGATACTGCGAAAGTGTGGCACAAGAATCACTCACTTTATTAACTGGCTCCATAGGAGTACTTTTTTTGGAAGACCAGATAACCAACTGGCTTTCCATGCAATTCCCAGTTTCGGACGGTTTTATTTTAGGTGAAGGAACCACGGGGTTGGCGTGATTCAATGTAGGTTCCGCGGAATTAGTCGCAAATGTACATTTGGAATCGGAATGCTCGGCAGTCACCGGTAGGAGTGAACCCATGCCCGATAAAGCTCTCGGCGGCGATCGGCACAGATTCGTGTCAATAATGCGAAAACCGATCTCCATGTCCGATTTCTCGGATGTTGATGGAGAACATTTATGAGGCACGATAGACGCTAACGCAGGCATGCTATCCAATGCAGCAAGTAAATCATCCTCGGCAACCAGATCCACTCGAGTATTGTGGATGAAAGCGGTGGTTTCACGGGTTGGGGCACCTGAAAACAAACAGAATAATCAGAGGGATAAACTATGTTGGAACGTGAAGACAGTTAGGTCACGAAAGGCTGGATTGTGAAAAATGGATGACATCGTTGTTTTGATCATCCGTCACAACACGTGTCACATCAGCGGAGATCACTTTTTGGACAGCAACTCCAGGGCTCATAAAATTTTATAACCTGTCGAGAATGATTCAAACAGTCGACGTTTTCTATGATTACACTGGTTCTCATTGTGAGATAAAAGTAAACAGAATAATATGTTGGTGTTGGTGAGTTCTCCGAACTGGAAGTGTTGTTCGCAGACGTTTCGTAGCCAAGCTAGGCGATATCATCAGTGCGGCTTGGGTTCTATATAGAACAAGAACCTATTTATCACTATCTAAGGAAACACTGGTGACCCGAGACCGCCCCAGTTATAACCGATCCAAAACCAGTTCTAACCAGCTTGGAACCGGTTTGTGGTTGGTCTAGGAAAACCAATCAACCAATGAGAAAAAAGGTCACCATGGCAACGAAACAGCCAATCAAATCATAGCAAACGGTTGCCACTGCCCAGTAAGATTAAAGGGACGCAAACAGTCAATCGAAACCCTCAAGAAGAACTATATAAGCTCGATCCCACTGAGGACTGGTACTTTCCCGAAGTCGCACTGATGATGTCGCCTAGCCTGGTTACGAAAAGTCTGCGCACAACACTTCCAGCTCGGAGAACTCACTAACATCAACATCCGCATCCCAAGCTACAATCATTCCTTACATTTCAGAATACAATGTTTCAGTGGAACCGAAAGTCAGTGGATGCATTTTGACAAACAATTGGTGCTTTGTTGGCAAAAGATGACTGATAAGGAATGAACGAGAAGTCAACGAAAATTTCATGGGGTAAAAGTGCAACGGATTGCGGAACTGAAATTTATGAACCCATAGCGGAGTAATACACAGAACAAATCGAAAGCTGAACATCAAGAGACAAATGACAGTATGGGCGTAGTGCTTACTACTTGTGGGTTTTTCTTTCGGAGTTAATGTCGGTGATTCACTAGTGACCAGATGTATAGTATCCGCCGAAGATTGATTGAAAAATGAAGTTGGCCGTTTGAACACTTGAATAACCTGGTCAGTGGATGGAGTACGGTTGGCAGGAGATAAACTCGAGTTTAAAGCTTCAGTATCCGGGACCAAACACATGGGATTTCGTTTCGGTTGGACGATCTGTACAGGAGTATGCAGTGAGATCGGGAGTGAGGGTTATGGTTAGACTAGGCGTCCAATCAAAAAGAAATTGTTAGTAAGAAAGGAAGATAGCTTACTGGTACAGGAGGCATGATATTCGTAATTGGTCGGGGACGTTCTCTTTGGGGCTCCTGATTGTCACATCGCCCAGGTTCTTCCTGCAATTCACTGAGTTTATTTATGGCAAGGTGGGACGCCTCATCACTTTGTTGAAGCCTGCGGGGGAAAAGCGTTGCGTATGATGAACGGTATGAAAAAATCGTCGAAAAAAACCCCGATAAACTGCGGATAACAGGTAAAAAGCGAGGGATTCCGTGGAGAGAGAACACGAGAATGATCATTGTTATGTAGAAATTTCTTAGGGTAACTAACGGTGAGTACTAAAACATGCAGAGCACTGGGAAAATACTCAGGACTAAGAAAAATCATTATCAACTTCTGAATGAAAGCCAATAATGGAGCATGATATATCACAACCAGTTTAGTTTCCGTGTGACAGTGCGACTTGGTATAATTCACTGATTAATGGATGTAATAGACACTTCTGATTTATATAAGAACATCACTATCTCTAGAACCACCCAAAGAAATAATATTCTGAAAGACCTAGCCCAAAATCTAACTTTTACTACTGTGGTGGTGATCGCTCTTATAAGTATGCCATGGGTCTCAGTTTTCGAACCCCGCCTACACCACTCAGTTTGGTGGTAGGCAACTTCGCTGTCGGGCTGAATACCACGTCTAAACTAGTGGGACCTTATATGGTTCGCCACCTTAAACCCCGGGACTAAGGTTGCCAGTTTCCACGAGTGAACAGCAGGTCTTCGGGATTATGGGGTTTTCCGTCTACTGTTGATCACTCAAGGTTGTGCCGTGAAGAATAACTAAGTCTATAGTTAAAACCTACTGATCACTATCATGGATATATACGTTGCTTAAAACTAAAGCTAGCGCATAAGCACACGCTAATGAAGACCCGTGCACACGCTTGTGCATCTATCATCCGACTACAAAACATATACCAATGATGATATTCAAAATTTGTGTCCAGTTTTAGGACGGAATAGCTAATGTACCCGGTATTAAACTGGTTTCAGTTGAGGTTAACGGGAACTGACTGTAATTGCAGTGAAAATTGCTTTTTTGATATATTTTCGTGAAAACAAAAGAGGATGAAAGTTCGTATTTCGGTTTCTCATTCGATTGCCATCTACAGACTCAAAATGGTCAAGAACGCGCATATGAGAGCAAAGAAAACCTAAAAGTCTAGGAGTATGTGGGGACAGTAGAAAATTTGATTTGATCACATGGTGAAGTTCGTCGTGTTCAGAGCAAACAAAGCTTGAACTGAAGCACTGCTTCGACCCTTTTGTGTCTCATCAGCAGTGCGAATCCATCGACCCAACTGGGGACTGAACTCGGAATCTCACAGGTAGAACCCAAGAAACCACCCACTCGAACACTGGGTAGCTGACCAGACCGTATCTCATTCTACTCATACAGGAGTTATAATCCTGGAGGATAATGCTGAGATGCGCGGGATGTGATGTCTGCATTAGGTTCGCGAAGATGGATTGTGCTATATCGTGTATAGGCAAAATGAAAAACGGTATGGTCAACTGCACGGTGGTTGAGTGGGTGGTTGCTTGCGTTCTACATGTGAAATCCCGGATTCGATCTCCGGTTAGAAGGATGGATTTGCACTTACACATCGACTCACCACAGTTTCTGAACAGATACTTGTCTCGTAGCTCTCTTCAACGACGGTCCACGACTTTGCTGCTCTTTTAATATCCTGTCATCCGGCTGAGAGTCCAGATGAAATGGATTAATTGAAAATGCCTGAGAAATACTGGCTTCCTGGTACAGTTTGTCGGCTGAATAAAGCAAGACAGTACAGATAAAGGGTTTAGGTTTTATTCTGGGGATCGTAGGCCGGATAAGTACAAATCGTAGCTGAAAAAAAAACGAGAATTGTATTTGTGCTGTGTGCAGCTGATTACGGTATACTTCAGGTTTCAGTTTTTACGACCACTAGCCATGCGCTTTCGTGCGCCGAATTTGGTTACTGTCTTTCGGTCGCTCATGTGGATAAGACAGTAGAATGGATATTGGAATGTTGATAGCCAATTCAATGCGAGGATAGAGAATTTATACGAACTGCGTTTCCAAGAATAATGAGTAGATGCACGAACGCCACTATTTACGACACTCAGCCATATCACTCGGTGTCTCCAACCATTGATTATAATGATTATCAGGTTCCCGTACAAGGAGCCTAAAGCGACCTATGTGACCCAATC